CCCCCCCCTGAATTTAAAGCTGGATCCGCCCCTGGATATACCCGACGAAATTCTTCTGTGACTCACTGTTAATAGCCAGATCTTAGATGCGAGTCTCATTTAAAATAAGGCAAATATTCGTTTGCATTCGTTCCGTTCGTCCAATGAGAGCAAATGCGCGCTTACCTTCTTGCCGCTATTTCCTTTAAGGTAAGCTCGCGCTCCTATGGAAGAACAGAACAAATGGAAATAAAAATTTGCCCGATTTTAAACGAGAAAACCCAGCTAAAAGATCTTAAACCTCCGATCCGTATGTGCATGTGTGGCTTTGCTCATTTAAAATCGGGCAAATGTTCTTCAACGTTCGTTCCGTTGGTCCGATGCGCACAAATCTGCGCTGGACAACACAGTGCTTTGTTTTGAATGGATTTTTCGATCATTTGCAGGCAAAATTTGAATTCGGATTTTACGGACAGCGCTTTGGGATCGACCGATAAAAGCCCATTGCCGTATGGCAATTTTCAGTTGCGAGACACAACCGTGCAGTCCATTTTATCCCATCCCAGATATGGACCGAAGTAAGTAGAATCTTCACGCAATATTAAAAAACATGTTGACTATCAAACTTTTTATACGATCACTGTTAAATTGAGGGCGCAAAATGAAAATTTTCGAGCAAAAAACGAATCAGTTGGCTTCGACTGCCAGCTGCTCTCGCCTCAAATGCTGTTAAACTGGTGCATTGTTGAGGATGCAAGCTGATTTTGCTGTTATCTAGGTCGACTTTGGGTTCGAACATGTACACTTATCTGAAATTCGGCCTGCCCAGAGTGTTTCCCCCTAACCACAATGGCTCCACGCGATCGGGCAGGAACACTCCGCAACATTTCACCAGAAATGCCTCCACAAGACCGAAAATGAGGTGAGAGTTTGGGGCTTTAAACCAACTATTGATAGCGATTAAATGTTACAATGCCCATTGTGCAACAATGCGGTTTGACCTGGTTTGTGCCATGCAGAGATCTTCCTTAGTTCAGATTAGTGTTTTCACTGCTGAATAATTACGCCTGCAGCCTGTTGCCGCATGCACATGTTTCGCCATTAAGGCACCTAATTTTGCCGTTTTGTGTGTGTTTTTTTTAATTAATTTTAGTCAATCGAAACACTCTAATCTGTTTCCGAATGAGCGAGTTTTGGAAGCTCATTGCATTCAAATTGAATTTTCAATCGTCTGTGACTTCATCAGCCAAACTGGGAACATGAATTACTCATCCACACGCCAACTGTGTAAAGCGTTTTAATTAATCGGCTTGGTGTTTGTGCGTTTTAATATTAATCATATGAACTCAACTTTTTCTTTGTCTTTGTCCTGCTGGTAATTGAGATGGGAATTTCAGGAGCCAGAAAATGAGCAGTCGAGGCCCTCGTGAAGGTTCCTCAGGGTACGACAGCAGCGACAACGAAACCAATAATCAATACAAACACAACAGGAAGTACCGATCGGACCCGGACTTCCGCATGCAGAACGCCCATCCTTCCTACCATCAGCAGGTAAGACACACCTAGAAAATTACTGAAACACTTGTGATTTTTCGATCAATTTTTCAAATCGCGGTTCACAACTGAAGAAGGAAACGCAGTTGAAGATGAAGCGGAGCGAATTATGGCAAAGGTCTTGGGGAAGCATTTTTTTGCCCAAAATCTATAGTTTTAAGATTTTATTAAGATCTCGAACAAAAAAATTTCTGGTAGTTTTCATACCGAGGCACTCAAGAATTCCTCCGGTTGCTTGATGACGAGTAAATTCATATGAACTTGCTGTATTTGAGTTTTTCAGCACGGTAATGTAAAAGTTTGCTCCAAATTCCCCGGTTTCAAATGGGGCATATTTCGATTTTTTTTTGCAGAGTTCGACTTAAGAACACGAAATTGCCAGTAGCTCGCTTATGATGAATTTTGGGCAAAAACTGACCAGCGCATTTTTTCTGGAGAATTTCCTTCCAAATCCAGTAGTGTTAACGAAAGTTCGCTATTGTCCTCGGTTTTAGACAAATTAGGTTTTTTAAGAAAAAAACATCGATTTTTTTTCGGTTGGACTTTCGCTTTTATTGAATGCAACACGCGCATTATTTGGTTTTCTTTCGTGCTCATTTACCATTACATTTAATCTTAGATAATTCCTGGTTTTGATTTATTTTCCTGACTGCGTGTAATTGTTATTACATTTTTTTCTTTCCTGGGTTTCAGTCAAAATGTGAAATAAAAATGTTTATATCGTTTATTTCATATTACGTATTCATATAGACGGAAAGGTGCCTGAGATTAACACGATCTTTGACGCGTCCGATGATGCCAAAAGTTTAATTTTTTCTTCAATATACACAGCGTTCGGCTGCAAAAGATTGATAAGAGATTTTCCGGGAAACACGCCCAAAGTCTTTTTTAAAACCTGTTTCCCCCTGTAAACTTAACGATTTTATTGAGCTCTGACAAGTTTTCAGAACTGAAAGTTTTTTTAAACCGAGTTCAACTCTCAAGTGGTTATTTTTCATTTGAATAAAACGTCTTCGGACCATCAGTCGCGCGCGTATCGACATGGCGTTGACTATTTTGGCAAAAAACGTGGGGCGGCGCTGATTTTTCCAAAAAAACGAATTTTCCCCTTATTGCTTGCTAAATTCCGACCGAAAAATCGTTCTTGGCTTTTCTTCGTACGAAACCTCATTTTCGAGTAAAATTCAAAATCGCGTTAATGCACGTTTCAGTTCTCTCGCACATCAACAGTTACTTTAATTCAAACTTTGAAATTAGTGTAAATCGAAATTAATTAAAATAATTTGCACACGTTAATATGCTAAGGAAAGTCCAACTGCGACTCACTAAAGTCAATCGTGAATAATTTCAAAGTTTGAACTAAAATAACTGGTTGGTCTGCGGGCTTGAAGATGTGCATTAACACGATTTTTATTTTTTTCCTCGAAAGTGGTGCGTTCTACCGGAAAAAGCCAAGAGAGGTTTTTTGTTTGCAATTGAACAAGCAATCAACCAGTATAATAATTTTTTTGCTGCATCAGTGGCGCACCATTTTTATCAAAAATATTGAATGTCATGTCGGGACGCACGCCGCTGACAAATAAAAATATTTTATTCTAGGACATAATGGCCATTCTGTAGCTGTTAACATCTGCAAATTTTCATTGAAATATCTCGAACGGTTCCGGATTTATTAATATTTTTTTAGTCTTAACGATCAAAACTTTTTGTTCCCAATCTCAGTGAGAGGGCTCTTGAACACCCTGTACACCAGCTGTTGGTGATTTCGAATAAATCGCCTTATTTACTTACTTTAAACCGTCGGGTTTCTAAATCTTTTAAAATTATTTTGAGTCAATGTGAGTTTTTTCGGTAAACTTCGCTTGCAACTCGTACCTAATTTAACGGGTTGCGCTAACGCGCGACCTTAAATTGCTATTTACGATTTAAGGATAAGCGCGTGGTTCCACCCTACATACCATCACTTATGTGCAAGGATATGCCCAATTTAACTCCCAACTTTGCGCATTTATTTGCCAAACCGGTAAAGCTGATTGTATGTGATTTATTTATTTTTTCTGTAATTCTACGCCATTAACCCACCGACCTTTTTAGAACTGGAAAAGTGCTTGCAAAACCGCCCAAGTTGGAAAATTCAATTACACAATTTGTCTGTTTCGATCGCTATCTGTTGCAAACATCTGCAAGCAAAATTGGGAAACTCTTTGGGCTTTTGTTCCTTTGAATGTCGAGCGCATCCTGTGCTTAATCGATGTTCGAATGGGCTGATCTTTAATGTGTTTTCCATAGACGGATGGATAAATTGCCCAACCACCTGCGGAAGTTAATGGCTCGGAAAATTGCGCTTTATTTTCATGAATTCCAAATCAAAATTCATTCCTGGGTTTCAGTCATTTATT